TACATTTAATGTTTTATTGTTGACTTTTAACAACTTTTTTTTGCATTTAACCTTTTTTGTTTAGTTTTTTACACTGAACATATTATTTTGTTAACATTTAATGTTGGAGCAGATGCAGCGTCCAATTAAAAAGAAATGTTATGTTTTTAACATTTGTTTACACTTAACTATTTTTAAATTTCATGTGTATTGTCCATATTCAACGTGTTTTTGTTGACATTTTTAAATAAATTTGATTTAACGTTTTTTTGTTGACTTTTTTTAAATTGAACATGATATTTTGTGATGCTGCGTCCAATTAAAATTAAATGTTACATTTTTAGATGAAAAAAGTGAGTTTTTTTAGTGCCATTTCTTTTCTTTTTTTATGGGACATCTTGTTCCATGAATCCACACTGTTATTTGTTTTTCATTCACAGCTATAGATGCCGAATTTTAAGCCACCATAAGGACTTAAATATCCTCATAAATAAAACCTCAAATAGAGACACATGGATCAGAGAAAGTCAAAACAAAGATTTAAAGATGAGATGACGGACGTGCTCTCTCATAGCCAGATGCACAGCGGGGTCCATTAGAGGGGTCAGGCTGGCATATCGTCTCCACAGAGCGGAGATGCAGATAAAAGAATCCCAGAGTTAAATAAACATCGGAAGGCTCCTGAACATCCAGACAGGAGATGGGCTTTAAAAAGCATCTCGGTGCGCGCGTGTGTGTGTGTGTGTGTGTGTGTGTGTGTATGTGTGTGTGTGTGCTGTCTTTGGGACTGGAATCACACACATGTGCCTGCAGAATAATAATAGTTGACTCCCTTGAGAACAAAAAATGGGCAAAACGTTATTGCATGTTGCGTATTTGTGTTACTGGATCTGTGTAAGCGTGTGCGTTTGTGTGTGTCCTGATGCTGAGTGATGTGCAGCGACAGGGAAGGTACTGTTGGCTTTATCAGTGCTGGTTAAATGTTTCCTGCCACTCTTCAGCGCTGCTTGCTGCAGTTCCAACCTTTACAATGCCACTGTTGATACAATCACTCACAATCGCACACAGAGATGCAGACTCACCGATG